TCAAGATATACGATTTAGCCAGCAACTTACGAACCAGCCATGGATTCTTAAACCTCACCAGCAAGGTTCGCGGCCTGGTAGCATCAGATCGATACTTTCCCAGCCGAAAGGAATCAGTAATAGGCTCATTGCCAGGCTCTCCCAAATACTCCATAAATTTTCTGACTGCTTGAATGTCTGAATCCATTCTGTCATGCAATTTCTGGTTGGAAGGTTCAGGCACGCCATTTATTCTTATTCCCATTTTATTTTGATCATCTGGTGTAACAGGCGTTGCTGTGTGGCCATTTATAGTTGTCTTAGTATCAGTGGATACAATAGCTGCTTTAAGATTGATGACTTCAGTTTTGATAGATTCTAGAGAAGTTTCAATAGACTTATCTCGAATGGACGTCTTCATTGCTGTCTTGGCATCGGCAAGGCAGTTCGCACAGGCCCACATAATCCCACGAACCGATGATAGATGGTCGTAAGTCTGCTGCGGGATGTCCGTACACGCCCGATGCCACCACTCGCCACATCTATCGCATTGCACTCCTTCGTCTTGCTTCCTCAGGGCTGCGTTGCAGGATGTACACGGAGAATTTTGAGCACTCTTCAAGCGTCCACGTGTCCCCGTCATCATAGTATATGAAACTATTTAATAAGTTTATCACAACAATTAGGCTAAATTAGCTTTCACAGTTAACTGTCACAACAATTAGCTTTCACAGTAACAGACTATCTCGGTTAATGATGCGTACACCTCATGGGATATTTTTCCGCATTTAGATGATACCAGTTTCGGCAACGCTGGCATTCAACCACCTTTGATCTATTTGTTACTGTTACTTTCCTGCGGCAGCAAGGGCACAAACCGTTTGTCATTCATTTGCAATTTAAGTGCTTACTTTTTTTTTCTTAACTGCGTAAGACGCAATTCATAGACAATTCAATTAGTGATGTTGCAGAGAAGGGACGGTAGAAAAGAAATACCAAGAAAATTCATGCATAATTTATTAAAACAAATTCAATAGTTGTAAAAACAGCAAAGGTTAAAAAGCAGTTGGCTTATAGCCCGTTGAGTTAACTTCTAAAGCTTCCAGTAAGCAGGCAGCATTACCGCGTTGCAGTGCAATGCCGAGTCTTTGTTTGAGGAACGTGAATGACCTTTTCTCACCAGTGGTCGTCTTGATTCTATAGGAAATAGAGGATAGAGTTTTGTATGTCGAGCTTCCGATGCCACCAAGATGTTCCACGGCGATGGGCTCGAACATGCAGTTGCGTGGCAGACCAGAATAGTGTTGGCGCTTACGAAATTCAGCATGGTTAGCAACAGTGGGACCATCTTCGAGGCCTGTTGATAGATTTGACTGTGCTTGTCGGTTTACACAGGTAAAGTCCCAGACTAAAGCTGCGCCATTTTTCCATGGAACTAAAGTAGCACCGTCTGGTCTTTTACCATCGTCACGCAGCATACCGGTCGGCTCGAGTTTGCTGTGTACTCCTGCTGATTTCAACGCGTCTCTGATGACTTCATTACCAAGTTGATGCCTGATGAAACGACTTTTGATTTTCGGGCATATAAGTGGATGAATGCCTTGGCTGTCGCATTTAGTGCCACATGCACAGTTGCATGAAAAAAGAAGGGGGGCACCAAGGCGAAGTCCCGTAGCAATTCTGAAAGCGTCATCAGTCAGCTGGAGACCGAGCGTATCAGACGGAATAGCAGCAAGCCAGTCTCCGGAACCGGGAACAGAGCATCCTTGTAAACGAACTTTGTCACTGTCACAGGTGGTGTTAGCTAGGAGAGACGACCGCCTACGAGAAACAATAGGAGTGTACCAGCTTTTCTGCCACTTATGCTTGTCTTCCAGTGGCATATCAGGAGAAACAGTTTCAGACCACAGTTCAATGGCATTCTTGAAGGACTTGCTGGTGTATTGAGACGCAATGACTTTGAAGACGTCTTCACTGGTGGCGAGTGTAGACGAAATATAGGCAGCCAAAGTAAGGTCCGAAGGTGACTGTAAGCCTAGACCACCGAGTTTGATAGGCAATGTGAGCTGATCCCATTCTCTGTTGGTAATCAGAATGTTACTGACAGTTTGAACAGCTCCACGGATATAAGAGGTGATTTTTTCAACAGAGTTCATAAAAACAAAAGTAGGAGCAGTGCGGAACAAATACATGAGCTTAGGCATGGCAAAACAATGTCGGAGCAGGAAAAACGCGACGTGTGAAGGCAGTAACGGAAGATTCTTGCAGAGGTTTTCGATTTTCTCTCTCTTCTCTTCCAATGCATGCTGTAAAGCTGCATGGCCCAGAGGGCTTCCTAGCAGTTCAGCGTCTTCGGTGCTCACGCTGCTGATACCAGGACAGACACGTCTGAATTCACGTAAAATCATATCGCTCTTTTGCTGGTCTTGAGTGAAGACAGTGATTTCACATTTGGTGTTATTGAGGTTTAACCCGAGACCTTTGGCACTGTCAATGAACTTGGCGAGGTCACGCAAAACTATCTGCCACTTGTCTCCAGCACTGATGTCGTCCATGTAACCGACCTTGAACTTGGATGAGATTGCAGTGAGACAGCGATGCACTCCGAGACAGAAACCAAAAGACGCAATTGGGTCCCCCTGTTGGAAACCTTCTCTCGATAGCAAAGTGTGGTCACCATAAACAAGGAAACTCTCCCGCTCGTAGCACATGTTGAAAAAAGGCAAAAGCTCAGGGCAAAACTCTTCGAAAGCAAAAGCAATACTGTCACGACGCATGGTGTTGAAAGCATTGCTGAAATCCAACTTGAGGAAAACGTCATCGTCTGAAGCTAACTCGAAGAAGGAGCGAGCAGCATGGACCGCAACTTCGGCACCATTTTTCGCACCAGCACCAAGTTGAAAGGGACTGAAAAACTCCTTGAACCTCGCTGTTTCGTACTGACCAGCACATTTACCTGCAATCCTGCGCCAGACTTCTCCCACAGCAATGGGCCTCAGGTCATCTACTTTTCCTTTTTTGGCAAGCGTCGTCAAGTTGGCTGCCGCAAAAACTGGTCTAATGAAATCTGGGGCTTTGCCAGCAAGCATCAAATTGACAAAATCCGTAAGAGTGTCCAGGAACGTGTTGCCTGCGTCGATGGAATGTGAAGAAAGGGCGTCTTTGATATGTTGCGGTCGGACACCACTGGGTCCACCTGCTGAGCCATTGGGGAAACTCTGGATAGCGCTGTGAACTGCAGAACTAGTCACTTGCAGGGGTTCATACTGGTGGCACTGTGGGAATGGCTGTCTGTCCAGTGCAGGAGGAGGATGCTTTTTCTCCAGGATTTTGACACTTTTGTCACTTGGGGGGACAACAGACTTATCCGAGGAAGCTATTCTAACGGCAGCTTTGATGTTCCCCTCATTAATCTTTTCACAAACAAGCCTTGCAAGTTTTTCTGCATCTGTGTTTTTCCCTGCAGAAGGACTACGGTGGGCCGGCTCAGGAATAATGAGGGTATCTGCTACGCTAAAAGCATCGATTTGTCGCTTTATCAATGTTGTTAAACTGGTCTTCTTAGCACACCCGGCGCGTGCGGGAGCTTTCAGGCATCTGTACGCAGCCGTGAAAAGTTGAACCCACGCCATTTTATTGTCAGGGTCGTTGAGGATATCTCGCAAAACCTTGTTAAGAGTTTGTGCAAAAAGAAACCTTGCAGCTTTTGGCACATACTTGACAGTTTTGCACTGGAAAGCTCTCACCGCTTTGATGAAATCCTGAGAAGTGAAAGAGTGGGGGTCTGTAGCAGTTGCGCTGTGTTCACGTTCTTCAGATGGGGATTTGTTGGAATACGGGCACCGACTTCCCACTGGTCCATGGACGCGTAGAGAACCATTCTTCTGAACCACAATAGACATGCTACATCCAGGACAGTTTATGCGTTTGGTGTCTTTGCGTCGGCAGTTTGGGCAGCTGTAGTTGTATAAGCTGGCATTCTCTATTGGTAGCCCAGCACAGATCGAGTGAGACCAGGAGTTGCATTCATCACACTGTACCCAGTCTCGAGATTGATCACCGCTTGCTTGGCACGGTCTGTGTGAGCAGGACGTATCCGCATCGTCAGTCTGGGGGCTACCACGGTTGCCCCTCCTGCTTCTACGCATTTCTCCTGAAGTTTATTTCGATGCTGCTGTTAAATGAAAGAATCTTCAAGAATCTGAAAGAATCTGCAAGAATCTTCCGTTACTGCCTTCACACGTCGCGTTTTTCCTGCTCCGACATTGTTTTGCCATGCCTAAGCTCATGTATTTGTTCCGCACTGCTCCTACTTTTGTTTTTATGAACTCTGTTGAAAAAATCACCTCTTATATCCGTGGAGCTGTTCAAACTGTCAGTAACATTCTGATTACCAACAGAGAATAGAAAAGAATACTATTAATGACAATGCATTAAATGTTGAATTGACTTAATTTCCGCATTATTGTTTATTGATGTATTTACATAATGCTGGTATGGGCCCTATCCAGCTTGTGCACGACCGTACCTAAACGGGACGGCCCCTTTTATAATTTACTTTTTTTTCTTTACTTTTATTCACGTTATACTTTACTTCTTCCTATTTTGTTCAAATGGTTCTTGGACTTGGTTATATGGTGAAGGACCAGTGAAGTAACTTCGGCTACCATAATAACGTATGACCTGATTTACAAAAAAAAAAGAAATTATAATTCAAAAAATTTAATTCGCAAGTTTGCTTTTTCATCTTGATTCTGGTTGGTGAATATAGTTTTTGTGTGCTCACTGACAAGTATGCATACGCGGTTCTGTAAATACAGACCGCACTCCTTCCTGATCTTATAATTAACGCCTACAATATAATTTTTTTAGGTTGATAGATGAAAGTTTCTGTTTTCAGAGCGTTGATATAATGTGATCGATGATCATTGGTGATTGAAGGATGATTGATAAACAATTAATCGAAAATCGTTTTTCTGCTTTATTTGTGTATTTATCTCAATTGCTGAACTTTTTTTTTTTAGAAAAGTATGAAATCGATTACTTTCGTCTTCTGCTTCAAGTAATTTAGTTAGAATGGTTTCGGTCATCGATATAACCCCGCAATTGGATTCGATGAAGGTATGATTACTTACTGTTTTCTTTGAGATACAGACGTCTTTTTTATCTAAGTTAGTTATCCTTAATTTTATAATTTGCTTTTCAGTCAAATGAAACTGAGGAACTGGATTATGATGAAAACCTACCGGACGAAGTAGTGATTCGGCCACCTGACCCGGAAACTATAGACGATTCTCAAGTTGATTCATCTCAAACGGCTGTAAGCTTCGATCAAAATGTTTTTTTTTTTAAATAAACCGAAGATTAAAAGTATCATAGTAACCGAGGTAACAGTCAGAAGTCCCTTCATCACATATTCGAGTCAAATCCCTAGGAAGTTGCTAGGTTGATAAAAATAATGATTGATAATGATAAAAAGGAGATGGTTAGAGTAGATGTTATTAAAATAAAACTCAATACTGGTTGCGTTTCTTTACTAAGAACACGTAACTCGACAAGAAAAAATCATATATTAGCTATTACAAATAAACAATTTCGTCGAAACTTGTTTTTGTCATTTATTGTGCCGAGTACGAATGCGTCTTTCGCAATCTGCATTGCCAGCAAGTTTCTGTGTGCCCTGAGTTCTTCCGTACATATGCTTAGGTTCTTACAAAACTTGCTCAAATAAGTTTCCGTGCTGTGGCTGGCTGTACCCCAAATCTCAAAAGCTAGCGTTGAAAAATATATTCGTCATCTATTAAGTCTTTATGCTTGTCATTTTTCCGCTTCAGCGGCAGCCGTACCCAGGCTAAAAACTGGCCCTATAGTAATCCTACTGGGGGGCTAGGGAGTCTACTACCGTAACGTCTCATAAGAGCTGCTTACCAACAGCCCATGGAATGAGCGTCAAACCGTCTAGTCGCTTCTGATTGGTCCGTCCTGCAGAGGTGTTAAAACAGAAGGAATGTGAGTAGAAGATAAACTCTTCTTCATGAGGGCATTCAGATTTGAATGCATAGAAACTCTCTCTGCACTTTTCAGGCTAGAAAGACCATGCTAACCAGCTTCGGTAACGTCTTTTCAGCACACGCATTTATGCTGTGCGCAATTTTAGGAGCCTAATCGGAGTTTTATTGCGATTCTGAATGATTTGTTCGTTAGTTTTAACCTTAGATTTTGCACGGGATGACGTTCAACCATTGAGAGCCAAATCTATCTTGGAACGGGCTGAATCTTAGTACGTCTGTTGATTCGAGTTTTGAAATCAAGGCTGCAACTTCGCTGTCGAAAATTGGCTCTCATTTTTCGGAGCCATTTACAATGTTCCAAGTTCAAACCACCGTTTAAGCGCATCATTTAAGTTCCATCCACCTGCTCCTTTCCAAAAATTTTGCTTAGGGCATGTCGCTCCTACGTTTGAAACCAGGAAAGCGGTAAAACTAGCAGATGAGAGGAAAAAACACCCAAGCCACCTTGGCTGCCGGGAATACTGCTTGTAAAAACTGGTTATCATTCATTTCTTAGTATTCTGTCGTAGCGATCCAAAAAATCATTTTGTCAGAAACAACTTATGCGCATAGTTTCGGCATGCTAAAGCCATTCTTGGAAAAATCATAATGGGCATCCAGTTTGTCAAAGACATCCGAGATTTTTTCAAGCTCCTTTTTTTTCGCCGAGCACTTCTTCATGGCAGAGTTAGTCGATTGGAGGTCCTAGTATATTAAGTTCTTTCTTCTTTTTATTTTGGGGTATGTTTTACGAAATTGCGTTTAAATTGAATTATACTTTGTACTCGTAGTCGGTCTTACAACAACAAAAGTGCCCCTTTTTTAATTAAAGTTCGCCCAAAACAAAAGTTAGCACGGTCCTAAAACAATGTTCGTGTTCAAGCTCAAGACGTAATTTTATTCTGGTTTCAGAATGTTTTTTGATGTCCCGGAGTATTACCAATTAGTCGTCGGTTAAATTTCCATCATCCAATTTTAGTTCATTTGATGAAGCCACAGGCAAAAATTTTAAATGACCATCGGGAAAATGTTTAAATAAGTCATGATGATTTTCGTTCAGGAAAAAGTCTGAAATTTGGTTCACGCTGTTTGACTTATGCTTTTTTTCTTGCGATAAGCATGAGTGTTGAAACCGGGTACTAGGCTTTTACCAGTAAATAACTTTGTTCTTCACAGAATTTGCTCGCGAAATTGCATAACGTGTCTTATTTGCTTTATGAATTCAAGTTCAAGGAGTATTTCGTGAAGTGGGAACTCTCATGCTAGAAACGACCAAGCGCAGTCGGGATTTATTTTCGTACACTGTAATTTTTCGGCTATTCTAGACCTTTTTTCTGTCTGCGGCCTATTTTTTTTTGGCGGCCTAGCTCTCAAATGCAGGACTTTTTTGAAGATTCTCCTTTTTTTGCATTCCCAAAGCTCCTTGTTACCCCCTTGCGATAAGCCGGGTACTAGACTGTTTTCCCGTAACTATTTTTTTTTTCAGAACGGTCAATTTATAATTTATCATTCTAAATTCGTTTCAGTGTACCTACCACCTACATTTTAAATGTACTGTTGATTTAGGGATCGTGCATGTTATTTGATTGTTTTCTTTTTGAAAAAAAATCTTAATATTTTCAGTATATTGGGTGTCGGCCTCAATTCTGTCGGCTTATATACCAAATGTTTTTTATTTTGGTCTTAGTTATATTTTAAATTCTAATAGATACAATTTGGACGGCTTATATTCATAATCTCAAAATTAATTTCTCAGACATTTTTACTCGCTATTGCTTGAGTGGCATGCTGTGTTTATCAATTCCGTTTTCGGGAAGATAATTACGCTTGTTTAGCGAGTGTTATCAAATCGGAATGTAGTTTGTTTTTCGGTTAACATCTAGTTAAACAGGATCACTTGAACCATTGTTTTTTTGGCTTATATGAAATCATTGTTTAGATCTTAATTCGCGCACGTGGCAAAGAGCGAACTCACTTGCTTTCAAAGAAAAGGTCAATGGTTCGAATCCGGCCAAGACTTGTTTTTTCGGAATACGGAAAATTGTTCGCGCTTCTAAAACTGTGTCGGACGTTTGTTTTTCAGCCTGTTTTATGTCCGCCTATTTGATGCAGCACCAATTTTGCCTAAAATTGATACATTTTTTTGAAAAAACTAATAATCTTTTCAGTGAATTTTGGTTTTTGGCAAGTCATTTAGTTGGAAGAAGTTAGACGATATTTTTTTGCTATTTGATTTTTTCATGTTTCGTGAAAACTTTTCGGAAGTTCTTTTCTTTATAATTTCAAGGAATGTGCTATGCATTTGGTGCAGTGATAACACCCATGCGTGGGATGACAAATCCCGGAAGTTCGATTCCAGTCGGAACCTTTTTTTAATTTAAGAAAACTAAAAATTTTCGACTATTCATGACTTTTGTGCCTACTTAAGTCTCGCTGAATTGTTCGGATTCTGTTGTGGAGATTTTTTGTTTTAGGATTGTTTTCATTTTTTTGCAATTTTTACAGTTTTTTAGGACAGTGATTTTGCGAAATTTTCAAAATAATTTAGTTAGCGAGCTTACCTCCAGGGTGTAGCATTCTAGCTACATTGTCCCACGTTTTTGGCTTGTTTTTATTTTTGATCCTTTTTTGGTTTTTTTTTTTCATTTACGCTTTGTTTTTTTTTGAAAACAATAATTTTTTGTACTGTTTAGTGTTTCAGATTTTGTACTTTTAAAAACGTTTTACAAGTTTGAAAATGTTTTACACTATTGATGTTTTTCACTTATGAATAGAGAACGTGATCCTTTTCTAGTTTCGAAAGTAGATTTAATTTTCCATATTTCCCAGCGGAATAAAACCGATACTTTTTCATCCAATTTTCTCAAGTTGCATTATATTTATCGAAGAAGTGTCAATATGAATTGTTCTTGAAATTCAATACTTTAAGGCCATATATGTTTTATAAAAAAACAAGTCAGTTGTTCTTTGGTTTCCTTTCGTTCATTGACTCGATGAGCTTTGAAGGCAAATGTTTTTTCTGTAACATTCCAAAGTTGAAGTGTTTTCAAATCACAAGTCAGTTTATTTTCTGTTTCCTTGCGTTCATTGCTGTTTTCACATGTGAAAGTGATCCTATCTTGTTCAGAGCGAACTTGGTGAAATAAATTCCGACGAAGATGATGATAATGGAGCTGTAACCACTGGAGAAACTATTGCGGGGGAGTTGCCAGCGAAGGCAGTGAACGAAGATCTCGAAGATGGAGAAGTTACTGATTCGGAAGATGAGGTGACAGGAAATGGAGACGCTCGGAAAAATATCAAAGGAAGAAATTTGGAAAAAATGTATCAAAAATTGTTAAAAGAAGACCCAGACGAACAGAACGGCGGACTCGAGGAAGGAGAAGATAATTGTTAGTCAGATTTCTTTGTTAGAAAGAAAGGGTTTACACTTGGGAAAGCAATTGTCTTCAGTCGAGAACTAGACTTATTTTCCATTAAATATTTTTGTTACATATCAGAAACTCGTCCAGCTGTCGCTTAGAGCGGTGTAGAGTAGGCTGACAATCAATTAAGATCAATCATTTCGGATCAATTAACAATGAGAGGTGGTTAACAGCAAGTAGTGTAGAATGTTCGGCTCACAATTTTTTAAGAAAGAAAAATGAAAACCTTCTGGAAAAATTTGAAAAGAAATGAAAAACTTGAAAATGAAGGTTAATAATAGCTACAATAACTTTAAAATTGAAGTAGAAAAAGTGGGAGGCTAACATCAAATCAAATGAAGTTCAGATTTCAATTTTTGAAATCCGAATCACGACCAAAAGGGCTTTTCTCTGTCCCATATAAACCTTTTCCGCGATATCAATCAGGACGTACGGTGTCAGTTTCCACATTTAAGATCTGGATTAGTGTGCCCTTTATGCAAACGTTTTTCATCACGATTAGCTTTGATCGAAGCTGTTGCCGCTATACACAATCGATTATGCGTAATTCACTTACTTTCCACACTCTTGTATTGTCTTAGCTTATTTCGTACCAAAAATGATTTCAATTTGAAAGGAAGAAAAGGGAAAAATGTCTTTTTTGTAGTTTTTGTTCCGACCATTTGAAAAATGGGGAGGAACTTTGTATTCGGGTGTGTTTTAGTTTTTTCTTTTTGTTTTCCACACAAAATCAGGTGCTACAGATAATCTTCGGAAAGGGTCGAGTGATATATCATATTAAAGCTTTTTCAATCGTGATTCGAACGACAAAAATTCATAAATTTTTTCACGAGAAAAAACGGTATGAAGTTTTTGATTTTTGGTCTTATTTCGAACTAATATGGTAAGCGTGTAGGCTTACAATAGCTTATTTAAGCTTACTTTAAGCCGTGAAATTTTAATTGTACTCAAATAAAAGTAGTCTTTGAAGTTTTTTAGCGCCATTTTGTAATAAAAAATGGTCAAATTCGAAAATTTCTGCAAAAAATTTTGAAAAAACTTTTCAATTTTTTGTTACAATTTTTTGCTTATCTAGTCAAATTTCTTTGAAAAATGTTTTCCGAATGGCCTTTTTTTGCTATGACTGTCAAATTTGCCTTAGTTCTTTTTTTTCTTTCAGATCTTTTTATCACACCATGCGGAATAAAACGACGCTAATTTGAAAAAAAGGTTTGTATTTTTCTAAGACTCTGGTAGGAAGAATCTGTGCTACTTGCACAGTAACCGGCTGTCCTTGTTTTTTAATGAATATGGTTGGAACATTCTGTGCGATTTGCACAGCAACCGGCCGACCTTGTTATGAATTCTGACTGTTCTGATTCGAATCAATTTGTAGTTTTGTGTTTCAGCAATCCCCTATAGTAAGAGACCTCGTGTTCCTTGCAAGTACTTTAACAGAGGAAACTGTGTTCACGGTCAAAACTGCAGGTACTTGCACGACCCTGAGCAAGCGCCCTCCGCGGATAGTTTCCCTCCTCCGTTCGTGCCGCAGAGGCAAAATAGAGAGTTGGAAGTAGCTGCACCGCTGAAGTATGACCGAAGACCGCCACCACCACCCCCGCAATATCTTTCAGACTATGAAGTGGAAGAAGAACCACCTCAGGAACCAGAGCCAGAACCACAGAGCTTTATTAACAAGGTTTTTTTTGGTGTTTTAAACTGCCATTGGCTTAGGCCACTTACAAGTTTTTGTTATAAATGACTAGAAGAAATAAGATAAGTGTGTTCGTGGCGTTCTGTTATGATATCGCTGAGGTAATCCAACTTACTGATTAATTTCCCCGAAATTGAAGTTTCGCTTAAAATGAAGTGATCAAAAGACCGATACCAGAATATGGGAAAATCCCTTTTGTCTCAAAACCTCATTATTGACTGTCGTTTTGAAGGCACTTACTTGATTTTTAAAATGAAAGTGAGCAAATGTGAGTAATTTCATTTACTTCTTTTAATCAAACGTTTTTTTCCCAGGAAATGTTTTTAGATGTGGTTTTCGTGGTTTGGCTTTTAATTATAAGTGTCTTTGTGGCGTTCTTTTATGATGTCGCTGAGGTTATCCAACTTACTGATTAATTTCATTGCAATCGCAAGGGTATTGCAATCGGGTACTAGACTTTTTTCCCGTAAACAACACTTGTCCACAGGACTCACTTCTGGACTCCTTCACGAATCCTCTTTTTTTCGTCTTCTTTGTGAATCTTACTCCTCTCGGTTGCAAATACTAATCATGGTTGAGTTTGTTATTTTAAATATCCGTCCTTTTCAAAATTTGCTTATGTTGGTTCTAATTTTTCTAACTCGATTTTTTTTGTCCTTATTTTTCGGCTTGATAGGTTTTGGCCTATGTTACATCGGCTTAATCGCCTTATATTGCGTCGTTTCACGAGCTGTGTATGAGTTTTAAGGTTGAGGGGGACTTAATAACTTTTAGTAGCCTTTTTAGCAGTTTTATCTGTTTTTGTTAATTTTATGAAAAAATTATCATCTTTCAAATTTCCTGAAATGCAAAGAGCTTCAATGTGATGTATTTTTTCTCTGAAATTCGAAAACTGAAAATGTTTCAGAGTTGACTATTTTGTTTTGGTTTCCTTGATTTCATTGCACTTGCAATAAGCAAGGGTATTGCAACTCTGTACTAGACTTTTTCCTTTAAATTACTTTGTTCACAGAATGATATATTTAGAAGGAAGTTCGACCTCGTAAGTTTACAAATATGAAACTACAATTTTTATAGAATGTTAACTTTCTTCAGCAGTAGATTCGGGTTTAGGGAGCCCTAAGTTCTATTAAACCAAAAAATACTTTTCATCTGAAAATGTCAACTTAGTTTATTTTCGCCATTTGTTTCTTGTACCTTAATGTTTTCCTCTCGTTCTGTTTTGAGTTTTTTGAACTTGCAACTCAAGTTTAAGCAGATTAATGAAATTTAGAATTTTGGTTTTTTTATCCACCAAAACTTTCTGCTATCTAAGAAAAACGAAATAGACGAGTTTTATTGGCAGCATTTTTCGTGTGGTTAGTTTTTTGTCTTTTTCTGTTTGGACTTAGTTCCTAACAATTTTTAGTCCTAATTCCATACAATGTCTGACACTTTATGTTGTAAATTTATTCAAATTAATTGGCATATCAAATTTTTTGAAAAAAAATGAAGTTTTCTACATGACTTTTTTTTACCAGTTTTCCCGGCTCAACAGACGTCTACCCAAGTTTTGTCTGCAAAATTACCCTCTCGGTATTTGCTAAATGATAATTCAAAGCTGCTCACGCATTGTTTTTTTTTGCCACCGGTCGCCATCAAAATGGCTTTCATTTGAGGCAAACATAAAGTTTTCGGGTTTTTTTTAACTATTTGTTGGCTTTTTGTATTGCAAGTGGTGCAAAGCTCCGCTTAGAAGAAGAAAGAACACCTGAATTACTATACAATAAAAGCCGAGGCATCAGTATAGCAAAGTGTAAATAATAAAGTTGGTTAAAATTCATTGGTTACATCAAACAAAAACACAACATCAGAAAACAAGCAATAAACAAAACAAAACAAGTTCGGTTACAGTTCAGAAATTGGTTGATTAAAATATATGAAGTTACGGATACTAAAAAAAATCAGTTTTAAGAATTAAGAACGAGCTGGTATTAAAACTTAACAAACAATTTTACAGATAGTCCAAACATACAGCGTATATGCAGAGTATATACAGATTCTCTTTCAAACAATGTGTGAAAAATTAAACTAAATTAAAACATATAGAACTAGCAAAAACGGAAATCACGCCACGTATTTGTATTTGTACATATTGGATTGTTTCTCAATTCACGCACGTAAAATTCTTTCAATTTTTTCTTGAATCCTGTTCTCGATTTTTCTAAATTGCGCAAAATTATGGGCAGTGAATTCCATTTTTTAGAAGTCAAATGAAAAAATGATTTTTGTAGAGAAGCGGTTGAACAATGTTTGTCAAAAATAATTTGTTTCGTTCTTTTGTTGAGCCTATAATTGGCAGTCGGTAGTCTCAATGTATTTTGAAAAGCCTTCTTTTTGTTTGTAAGATATTGGTATAAGTATGTTATACACTTTAACTCAATTCTTTTCTCGATTCCAATGAACGATTTGCTAATGCGAAGAAGGGAAGAAGATTTAAATTTCGATCTGGAATATGTTCTTTTTAACGCCCAGTTCAACTGTTTCTCTAGAGATAGCATCAAAGTAGCATTAATTTGTATTTAAAATATTGCTGAATAATCTAAATGTGATAAAACAAGACAATGAAGCAAGGCAACTAATGATAATGTCGGCAGTTGTTGTCCAATTGTATCTATAGTTTTAATTCCTTGTGCCATTTTTGGAGAATTGTTTTTATTTGAGCATGAAAAGATAAACTTGAATCAAGAATAAAGCCTAAATATTTGCATTCTGATTTTTTGGCTACATAATGCCCATTAATTACTATTGTATCAGTATCTACATTTTGCTATCATTTTTTTGACAAAATGTTATAAATTTTGATTTAGATGCATTCAGATTCAATTGGTTCTCTGCAAAAAATTCCGTTAGATTATTGAGTGATTTTTGCAATCGATTCAAAGCATCCTCAGAAATTATAGAAGAGGAAAAAACCATACAGTCGTCAGCATATTGAACTAAAGTACAACCTTCATATAATCGCTCTTGTATGTCATTAACATATAAATTGAACAACAACGGACCAAGTACCGTTCCTTGTGGGACACCTCGTTTGATTTCAATCCAGTCTGAAAAGATTCCATTGACGTTTACTCTTTGAATACGTTTGTTTAGGAAGCTAGCAATTAAAGCATTTGCTCCATTTGAAAAACCTAGAGAAAGCATTTTTTCAATTAAAACTTCATGCAAAATAGAATCAAAAGCCTTGGACAGATCTAATAAAGCTGCATGTACGATTTTTTTTGAATCTACTTGATTTCGAATACTTTCTGTCACATAAACAAGAGCATCTTGTGTCGAAATGTTTTTGCGAAATCCGAAATAAAATGGTGTCATTATTTGAAATTTGTCAAGATGTTCTGTTATTTGGGCATGCAAAATTTTTTCAAAAATTTTAGAAAAAGCACAAGTTATTGATATTGGCCGATAATTTTTTGCATCCATTGGGTCATCTTTTTTAAATAAAGGGGTTACGTGTGCTTTTTTCAGTTCGATCGGGAAAATGTTCTCATCTAAGCAAGTATTTATGACAAAAGTTAAATGTGGAACTATAACTGATTGACCGTCAATGATTGCCCAAGCAGGTACGGTACAAGGTCCGAGTGGTTCTCTGACATTGATTTTTCGAACTATATCAAAGCATTGCTTCACTGTAATGTGTTGAAAATGGAAAGGCGCAGATTCTTCAGAGGCAGATTTGTTGTAATTCGGAGGCTTTTTAGCGCCGAAAAATTCGCCTAAGTTTGAATAAATATAATTTAAATGATTGGCAATTTTTTTATCTGGGGTTATCATTTCACTGAAGGAATTTCGTAGAACTGTAATTCGATTGTTGCCAGAACATGTATCTCTAACTTGGTTAATATATTTCCATTTTTGTTGGATAGTGCTGAGAAGTGAAAAACAATTTTTTGAATGATCGAGTTGTTTACTTCTAATCAATTGGCTCATTTGATTACGTAAAAACTGGTACTTTGACCAATTATCGCTTGTGCTTTGACTGCGATATGATCTGAGTGATTTCTGTTTCTTAATCAACAATTGCTGACATTCTGAATCGAACCATTCCGTTTTCAACACAATTTTTGGTTTAAAATTACGAACAAAATTTTTTTTCGTTTGGAGCATGTTGCTGAAGAGCACTAGAAATTAAATAAATCATCGTCGAGAACATGTTTTGTGCGTCTGTACATTGATATAAGAGATACCAAGGAAGAGCGGAGAGTGTATTGCAAAATTCATTTTTCTGATCATTTTTCTTATTGAAAGTCGAAATTATCCTCGGTAAACTTTTGCCGCATTTTATATCCGTCAAAATAAATGAAGCAAAATGGTCGGTTTTATAAGGTGTATCAAAACAAAATTCAATGCCGTTTGTTTCATAGTCACTGATAATGTAGTCGATATGAGTTTTAGTTGAGGAACTAATTCTGGTCTCATCGTTTGGACAAAAAACCTTCAATCCATATGGAATAATTATAGAATCTAAATTTTCTTTTTCTTTGCTATCCAGGTAATTTATGTTATAATCACCCAGAAGCGTAATTTTTATAAGAAACTTAAAATGCATTATCTATGTTAAGCGTTAATTGTTCCAAAAAATCAAAAAAGTTTGATCTGCTTGGATTATAACACAAATTAACTAACATTTTTTCTTTACTGGAAATGTTAAATGTAGATTTGCACTCAACCCACACTGACTCATATTTTTCTTGATCAAATAAATTTAAATCAGGCCTCAATTTCGGAGCCAATTTGACTGGTATATATAACAAAACGCCACCGCCTTTCTTTTTTTTACCGCTGATTGCCTATCATATCTGAACATCGCATGCGTTCTACGGTGGAAATTCCATAAATTGTCCTTATCTTCTTTTTTAAGCCACGTTTTGGAAATTCCTATAATTGTATTTTCGCCCATATCATCAAGAACTTTTTTCAATTGCATCCGTTTTCTGATAATACTTTGAAAATTCAATTGAACAAATTTAAGATTTGCACAATTTTTTGAGCAGATGCCGTAGACTGTTTCAATGGTTTCAATAGGGCCAGGGTTCTTTTCAACATCCCCACTTTGGGTTAGTAACAACGCAAAAAGGAAAAGATGAGTCAGTGTGGTAGCTCTCCGCTCATTTATCCCACATTTCGATGTTAATATCTTTTGATGACAGCTTAGATAGCCCCAGTAAACAATGGTTTTTTCTATATTTTCCATCTGAGCCTTGGAAATAAGAAAAATTGCACAAAATAACCAGAATTTAATATTCAGCGTAATAAATTAAATAATCGCCAAAGTTTGCACCAAGAAAAAATGCGAAACTAGTATTTCCTAAAGAATTTTGCACCGTTTTGGAAAAATTGTATCATTTCTGCCGTTTTTGGATCTAAATTTGATGATTGTTGGGTTTGCTTCATTCTGGGGCGGGTTGTAATCTCACATGTGTTTGCATTAATATCAGAACCTCTAAAATAATCTCTAAAACTTTGCACCAAAATTTCAACACCCCCATCAGAAGGATGCAAACCATCCGAGCTAAGCGCATCGGTATTTTGACTAAAATTTTTGTTTATGTCTAAAATATCCAACTTTACTTCGCCCAAGTCCTTTACATTCCGTACTAAATTAAGAATTTGCTTGTTTAGCTTCTGTACATTTGGATTAAAATCTTTTCTAAAAGCGCCTAAGGGAGTTACAGTACATAGTGAAATTGTTTCTGGGGAGAATTTATGATTTACGAGATAAATTTGTTTTTCTAAGCTACTCACGGCTTCCTTCGCGTCGAAATCATTTGAGAGGCAGTCATTTATTCCAATTAGCGTAGTTACATGTTTAAAATGTCGCGATTTACTATTTCTCACGCGTTCCAGCAATGCAGAAATTGTGTGCCCACCAAATCCTCTCGCCAACACATTTTCCGATATTTGTTCCCCATTGATTCTGTTAACAATTGAGTCTCCCAGTAATAGGCCAGAGTATTCTCCTTCTCGTGGTAAAAATAAATGTTTTCGTTGTTGGTCGAATTTTTCTTCTTGAATATTGGTTGCTTGTATTTTGATTTCTTGGTTATTCTTGCTTTCTTGGTTATTTTCGCTTCGTTTGTTCTGATTTCTGCTCCGAGTTTCAATCTTGCTCCATTCATTTTCAAATTTGTTTCCTGCAATTTTCGAATTGCCCGTGTTTTTAAAATTTTCTAGATCAATAAATTTGTTTCCTTTTTCTTCATCTTTCGTTGATACAGTTAAGTTTTCGATAATTCGTTTAAAATAAGTAACATTTTCGATCAAGTCTTTATACAGCTCGTATTTCAATTCGTCGTTCAAATTTCGGAAAGTTTCGTGGTCAAACATGTTGGCGATTAAAAGCGAAATTAAAAATAAGACATTAAAATGAACCGACTGATCGCTAGAAATTTAAATTGGTTGTGAAATTGGCTTCTGTGTTGAGGTTTATCCAACTGTTTGTTGGCTATGTTAATTACACTTTTTTGATTCGATAGTCTTATTAAAATGGCCGACTGAATCGCATTTTTTGGTGCTTGCACGCCCTCAAAATTAGTGTGTAGTGGTCGTCCGAAAATAGATGTAAATTAGTAACTAAGGTAAAGAGGGAACAAATCCTATAGAATGGAGGAGTCATGCACCGAGGGATCATTGTATAACCAACGCAAAATATCTCGTCATTGCAAGAAGCTGCGATGCTTGTCCTGTTCGGCCCTGGTTTTAAGTCAATTTCCTTTCGTTAAATTAGTTACTTTTAGTTGTTCGTGTTGTTGTGCTCTTTAAAATCGAATGTGTCATAAAATTTTGGCCTTAATGCAGCATTTGAAAACTTTGAATTTTAGGCTTGGACAAGTGGTCTGAAAGATGCTAGAGAGATGATCAAACGGTCGAAACAGAAGAAGGAAACAGACATAGACTTCGAGCAGCGCAAAATGCTGGCTGGAATAGACTCATTGGATGATACAGAATACGCTAGAAACTCGCAAAGCGATGATTTTGCAGAAAGGTACAGATTCGTTGGTTTTGCTGAAGTTGAAGGGAACTGGTTCAACAGTGATGTTTTTTTACTTGATGGATTTCACCTGTGGATTTTTTGTCGATGAGCTGGGACCGAATTTAAAGAAGCTCAAGGTTTTAGAAAAATTGAAGTTCGCTTTAAAAAGCTCGAAAAAATTCGTTTAATGAATTCGTTGTTTAAATTAATGACTGGTTGCTTTTGAATAGCCAAAATTCTGCTACTTACAATTGATGAAACAAAAACAAACAAAAAAATCTTTTGTATTTTATAAATGACAGAAAGGGTAGAAAATCAGAAGTAGACAAACTATCAACCAGAGAGAGGACAGCAGTTTCGGACAGAGAGATCAAACCCTTCAGGAAAGTGGCAGTGCCTTCCTCATTCGGGGCTGACCAGTGGCAGGATCCATGGCAGAGGTCCACGGTCGATAACTCTTACCACATCTCTTCCAAAGCGAAGAGACACCACCATTTAAGTGACCACCACCATAGTAAGAAAATGTCTGGAAGAAAGCGAGGTGGATCTTCATCTTCGGGTTCATCGCGTGGCAAGAGGTATTTTTCTGTACTTGTGATGTACTAAACATATTGTTTTTTCTTCCAGGTTGTAGGAATTAAAGTATGAGTCGACAACTTAAAATCTATATCAAAGTTTTACATTTTGAAATTTTAAGAGCAACAGCAGCAATTTGAAACGAAGTTTTATTTGAATCCAATATAGGATCAAAAATTCAAATCGAGTGTTTGGAAAAAAATGTTAAATTAAGTTAATAACATAAGGTTCTAGATGTAGTTTTGATCAATTTCCTTTGAATGCGATCACAGGTGCTAGTTCATGAAATTGTTTTTCAGATCTCGGTCATCCAGCTCCTCTTCGCGGTCCCGTTCTCGCAGTGGTAAAAGCAGGTGAGATTCAAATTCAATTCTAGCCGCCTAATTTTCCCGAATCCGGTTTGACCCGACCAGCTAGAATGCCGATTTAGCCCACCATTCACGAATTCAATTCTTGCTTTGATCAAAAATTTGGAATGTTTCTAGTAAGCTCGAACAATTCAGGTTTTTCTCAAGAAAATTGAAAAATCCCAGAAAAATTATCAAGGTAGCCTAAAAAAGCGCAAAAATCAGCATTTCTTGTGTTTTTATTTTTAGGTCTCCATCGCCCAACTACAAGCGCAATGCTGAGCTGAAAAGACAGCAGCAGAAACAGAATGCCGCACTGGCCGCTGCTGCAGCTGCCTCCCAGTCGGGATCCGCCTCGAGTGTGAAACCAAACGGACCATCAGTAGTCACCCCTGACACAAACACCATATCTAACAAAGTGAACGAGAAGAAAATAAACCTATACGACACAAAGAAAAAGTTGGTGCATCAATCCTATTTTTGAAATTTCTAGTTTTTATCCTTGGGATTAGCAAGTATATTGCAGCCGAGCTTTAGGCGTTTCCCCCTAAAGAAACTTTTTCACTGGATGAATAAAATTGATATCATCTCTAAATTTAGTCATGGTAGTTTTTTTAACATCGCAATGTTAAAATGTTTAGCGCTGAATTTGTCAGTATTTTTCAGGGAAATTGGCTTTTCCGTAGGCTTTATTGATTTATTCAAGCGTAAATTTCCGGAATCCGGTTTGACCCGGCCAGCTAGATTGCCGGTTTAGCCCACCATTCACGAATTAAATTCTTGCTTTGATCAAAAATTTTGCTTAAATTTTGAACAAAACTTGCACTTAAAGTTTTGTCGGCTTAGTTGCCACTTCACACATCGTGTTTGTTCGTTAACCAACTTTCATTGCAAGTACAAGTTTTGTTCTTTGTAGGTTCAGGAGGTGGGCTTGAAGCTTTTAGTTTTTTTAATCATTTTTTTTTTTCGGCACAACAGGTGTCGGCTCAAAGATTGTCGGTTTAGTTGCCACATCACTGATTTTTCTTTTCTTGTGCTGTACGCAACTTCCTTTGTAAGTGAAAGTGTAAGTGTTGGTCATTCTAGTCGCAGATAAAACTAGATTTTTTTTGTCTGCTCAAAGGTTGTCTCCTTTGTTTACTTCTTCGTAAGTTTTTTTCCGTTGCTAATTTAATACTCAAATTTCTGCCATGTTATCTTAGAATGAACTTCTGTCGAGTCATACGAAATTTTAATTTTTGGTAGAAGTAGTTTTTTTTTCAACGTTTTCCATGTAATAAAATAAGAACAAAGCTTAGAGCGTCCTTAATTTTATGGTCTGTTCTCAATTAGTTGTGTGCTCAAACAGGAAAGGTGTGTACGCTAGCATAGTACTTTTTCACCTTATCAGTTTGAGTGCTTACATTTTACATTTTAATAATGCGATCAACCCGGGAAAGATCTTCCTTCGACGCCTGCTGCGCCAACGATACTCAGTCGGAAATTCTCAACCCAGTTATAATTTGAAAAATGTGTGTTAGATCGATAGCTTCAAAGCCAGAACCACCACCAACTCAGAGCAGCAGCAGCAGTAAAAAGCCAAGTTCAGTAGTGCAAGAGTCGCCGAAACATACCTACAGTGAGAAGCTTCATTCTTCATCTTCGAAAGACCACATGACATCGTCGTGGACCAAAAAAGAGCATAAACCTATCCGGAGAGAAGATCCCATACCACTTCCGCCCTTGAGGGTGGAGGATGAGAAACCCCCTAACCCGTCCAAAACCTCAAAACAGTACAGAAAAAAATCAGAGTCCAGATCGGTGAGTTGAGTTTTACATTTCGACTTCATTTTGTAAGTTTGAACTGAATTGTGCGAGAGATGATTCAATGATATGCTTCAATGATTCTTAAAAAATTGTGATTTAAAAAAATATTTATTTGTCATAATTTTCTGATTTAAGGCGCAAAAGTCGAAAAATAAACAGGTAAGCTTATCTTATGGTTGGTTGAGGGCAAAGAACTCATCAGACGTCTTTTCATCTGTCCAATAACAATTTGTTTCACGTCTTTATAACCCTTTAATTAGAAACTGTTCAAAACTACAACTGCCATTGATTGTGCTTTAGCGTATTCAACGATTTAAGCGTGAATCATTATGTATTATTTGCTGATGTCATCATGCATATTTCACCTAATTTGATAAAACGCTTTTTCTAAGAAAGAATTGAAATTGGCGCCCTCTCTTAAGTGGCTGGAATAGTGCGACTTTTTTGAACGAAGCTTCTGTTATATATTGCGTGGCCACTTTTCATATTCAGCTCCCAAATGTAGTTGATTTTCAAGCATAATGAAGCGTAAGCGGTTAAAAGCGCTTCGCTGCTCACACCGCAGTAGAATAATCGAAACGATGATGTGAAGGAAATAGATCTTGTTCTGTGACATTCTTGATTCGTGTGTGCTAAATTTTTGACTGGAAATAAGTTGGTTGATGAAATTTTTGATATGCTTTTTGGGTTTTAGAGTAGCAGCTCGTCTGGATCAAGCAGCTCTTCCAGCTCCAGCTCTTCAAGGTTTGTAAATACAATGTTTTAAATAAGTGAAGTGGCTGTTGTCCTAGTTCAGTCCGGAGGTTGGTTGTTCGATGTCCACCATGTTTAGTTTTCGTTGGTTGATATTGTTCTCTGAGTTACGAAATAGATGGAGAAACTAGACAATTTTTCCCAGCTTAGAGAACTTTCTCTGCTCTGTTGAAAAGTTTTTCATTTCCAGCTATGAATAGAACCCGCAAACTTTGAAAAATTTGCATAGATAGTCTGCTTATTGCTCTGATTTGTTGCGTGAGTCATTAGTTTCTTTTGCCCATTTAATTCAAAAGCTGTCAAGAGTTGAGAAAAGTTTTCCGGACTCAGTGTATAGCTTAGCCAGCATATTTTTTTTAGTTCTGGCTCAGAATCAGACACGCCATCTACGAAGCAAAAGAAGTCCTCGAAATCGGTTAAGTCGTCTTCTAAAAAACGGGCGTCAAGAACTGCAGAAGAATCTAGCAAGCGTTTCCATAAACACTCAGAAGCCAAACATGCCAAATCAGGATCGGCTAAGGAGTTAACGGCCGCTAAAGTGATCAAAGCAATTGCAGACTCTGGTAGCGGTTCTCGGAGAGAAGAAAAAGAACGACACGGATCGTCTTCGTCGTCGAAAGCGCATCGGCAATCAACCGACAATAACAAACACAGAAGTCCAATTTTAGATAAGTATAGTTCGACTGGACAAGGCAGTAAAAATGTTGGTTATCTGAACGGTTCGGCAAATGAAGCTTCTAGGGATAGAGAGAAAGATCGAATGACGGATCTCAAAAGGTCCTCTGATCCCTACTATGAACCGAAGAGTGCTGACAAATCCTCCAATAGTTTGAAGGCAGATGAAAAAGTAAGGAAGCGAAAGAACAAGTCTCGAGACCTGAGCATGTCTTCGATATCTTCTGCTTCGTCTAATGAAGATGGAGTCAAAAGTTCAAAGATGAAAAAACGTAAGAATAGACCAATAGTCATTCATATGTTGGTTTTAAAAAAATAAATGATACACAATTGAACCTTTATTTAGGCTCCAAGAAATTGTCTGAGCTTGAGAAGCTGTCTTCTTCTGTCAAAATGGGTAAGCAGTAACACGAATTGTGTAACCTTCTAGCATCATTTGTCCGATGTTGGTCATTTTTTAAACTGTCGGATAATTTTGTTATGGTCTGTTTGTATCATGTCTATACAAAAAATGATACGGCCATTCATATTGTTTGATATCACAGTAGTACCGTTTAGATGGAAAATGAAACACTCTCTTGTCGTTAATCAATAAAAAAAGATACCTTAATCACTTGTCACAATTCATAGTAACGTTTTCATTGCTTCAGAGACAGGTTACGATAAAAAATCGGAGAGTTCTTCGCACAAAAAGTCACGTGTAGAAAACGGATCCGAGGGAAATTCCAAGGCCGCAGAAGACAAAAATAGTCTGAGCTCCTCGTCAAAACCACACAAGCACTCAAAACATGGAAGTAACAAGTCGAGTTCGAAAGCCAACCGAAAACAACTTCTGATGGCTCAGTTGGCAGAAATTGAAGAAAAAATTGCAAAAACAAGACAGAAATGTTCCAAAGAACATAAATGAGTCTTAAGCTATCTGTTAGATAAAATTTAATTAAATAGCTTCAATCTGAACTTGTGGTAAGGGCAATAATAGCTTGTACCATTGCTAACTAAACTCATGAGAACTTGAATCTTGATAGCAGTTGATGCTTTATTTAATAATAGTAGTTAATTTTGAATTGGTCTTTTCTGTTGTTGAAATACGATTCCCAATATGAAACATATTGCAGTTTTTACCCAAGAAGTTATTTCGATGTTGAACTATGGAAACGCTTGAATTTTACAGAAAGCTACTAGTATCCAAAGTGTAATTTTAGTTAATATCTGATTTTACTGTTCAATTGTTTTGATTTTTTCCTGACTTTATAAATTACATTGAAGAAATATCTCTATAGATACAACAGCTTTTCAAGTTATTCTCTTCGGATATTTATGTAGTTGTTTTTTACTTACTAGCAATATTGGCTGCTGCTTTGAAAAAGGGCTCTTATTTTCGACATACTAGCAATATTGGCTGCTGCATTGAAAAAGGGCCCTTATTTTCGACATAATAACTTTTTTCTAAGGCTCTGAGGAGCCAATATTTACTAGATATGAGGGTGTAACATGATAAAAAAAGTGCAATAAAGAACATTACCGTTCAAAAGTCAATGAACGTAGTTAAGATTTCTATATAGGTCGTGATGGTTTCTTGCTTGTTTTTGCAGGAGAATATCGCACAGCAAAAGTATAAAGATCGGGAAAAACTTTAATGACTTCTACAGTGCTGATTGAGAGTAATGAATAATACACGAATGTGTAAATGGCGCAAAAATTCGTGAACGATTTCTAGTTTCGAAAATGGAATTTAATTTTTAGATATCCAGCGGAATGAAAACTTTACCTGTTGATCCAGTTTTCTCAAGTTGGGTTAAAACTATCAAAAAAGCGCCAATGAAAAATTGTTCTAGAAATTCAAAGAGCTTAAAGAGCATCTATTTTTTTTTGGAAATTCGAAAGTTGAGATTTTTTCAACAAAGTGTTCTTTTTGCGTTTACTTGCGTTCATTACCCTTTTCCAATCTTCGATTGGGCTATGTTTCAAATTATCCGGACAAAACGAGTAGATCATCAAATATAAAAGCATGTTTTCTCAGTTTTGTTTGACGTTAGACAAAAAATGATCAGGCTTTAGCAGAAGTAGCAGAATTCATATAGTGCAATTTTTCATATATTGAAATTGTAAAAATAGCTTTTTTCCATTAACCGAAAAAGAAAAGTTGTTTTTACTAAAAGAATTAATTTTTTCTCGAATTGATTAATGCAAATTTTGCTTGAAATTTTAACAGACTATTTACGGTGAAATTTGTTTTGCGAAATTAGGGCCCAGAATTCCACCACAAAACCAATCAATTTTAGCTTGGGCTACATAAGAGGCTCACTTTAATATACTTTGACAGCAAGTGATCCGGTAGTTCTGACGTAATTTTTCATTAAAAGCTAAAAAAATTATTGGTTTTGAGGGTAAAATGTTGGGCCCGAATTTCGCTAATTAAATTGAACTATAAAATTCTAAGCAAATCTTTTCTTCATCATTGTTTGTCTAAAGTCAACCGAACTTGAAAAAAACTTTTTTACAAATTTTAGTTTTATCCGGCAACACCGTAGTTTCGAAAGTGGATGTTGATTGTCAGATTCTCCAACGTAATAAAAACTTCTTTTTCTTAAATTGGGTTTGTTTTCTCAAAAAAGTATCAATCATCAAGTGTTATTGAAACTAAAGAGCTTTATTGCTCTTTTTTTTGAAATTGGAAAGTTGAAGTTTTTCAAAATCAATTGATTATTATTTTTCCTGTTTCCTTGTGTTCAGTGACTTTCTTAACTGTCTGTTGGCTCTGTTGTTTTTGCGTTTTCATTATAAAAAGGAGAACATTTTAGATTGCTTGGGGCCGAAATTTTTTTGGAAGATGGGGAACCAAATCAAGACTTGAAGTTTGGGCTTGATAGTTTGCTCAATACTAATCTCAAATTTGTATAAAAACATGAATCAGTATATTGCTTGAATAGAATAAAAACCCTTTCACCCGTATAATGAAACGAAGGAGCGTTTTGGATGCTTTTCAGATAAGACGATGGCTTGTGACTGTAATCTTCAACTGTTGGAGTCGAGTGGTCCGTGAGAAACAGTTTAATTCAATTGACGTGCCTTCAAGTGTCGTAGTCAAACATGGGTAAGTTTTAATTTGAACATAATTTAAACAGAAATGGAACATGGTTGGTGTATCAGTACACTTCAGTATATTTGATGCGTCCATTTTCCTTATGATTTATTACCTTAGTTTATTGTACTAGAATTTTTTTCCCCTTAACAAATTTTCTCACAAATATTTTAAAGTAGAAGTTGCTTGATTATTGAACCTCGACAACTTCCAGGCTCCTTCCCACTTGCTCTCGAGGTAAAGCAGTTGCCTTTGTGGCCGAGCTTGATTTTTTTGTTTTAATGAAACTGATTTTTTTGGGAAAAAAATTGTTCTTGCACTGTATTCTCACGAATTGTTCTTGCGCTCTAAGCTTTTTTCATTGTAGTTTCAAAGTGTTAGTGATTAGGTCCTGTAAATTTAAATGTACTAAACCTGACTTAGTGTTTTTCTTTTGCTTTTTTTCGCTGTAAAGTTATATTCGTCTTAAGTAGATTCAAATTATATTGTATCCGATTAATAAGTGTCATGAAGGTCTTAGTGGTTTTGTTTTTTTTTCAGGAAAAAGTCCATGCTGAAATAGATTTTTCGCGGTTCGGCTTTTGATTTTTTAAACTTCACTCCTTTCCTTTGTTACAGTGCTGATTTAAATTATCCGGACAAAACGAATAAAACTTGAATTTTCAAACGCGTTTTTCTCAAATTGGGTTAAGATTAGACAAAAAGTGAAGAGAACAAAAGTTGCTTGGAATTTCACCAGAATTAATATGGTGCCATTTTTTCTCCGAAATTCTCAACAAATTTTAACCCCAAAAATAGGTAATTTTGGCTTTTTTCAATTAATCAAGAATTACGCGGAAACTACTTTCTTAATTGATAAGAAAATTATATCACAGGAAGCCTCTTACGCAGTTCAACAAAGTTTAATAAGGGTTAAATCTCCAAAAATTTGCGCAAATTGTTTAAAATTTATTTTTAAACAGAGATTCTGGGTTTTATATAGTAAAAATCACATTTATTGACTATCAAGTGAAAATTTTTTCTCTTATACTGTTTTTTGGAGATTTAACCCTTTTTTAAAATTTGTTGAGCTGCGTAAGAGGCTTCCTGTGATATAATTTTCTTATCAATTAAGAGCCTAATATTTTTTCTTTAAAACTCGAAAGTTGAAGTTTTTTCAATAAAACCAGTGATTTTTTCCTGTTTCCTTGTGTTCCTGTTTCCTTTTCCTGTTTTCCTGAGTTATGAAAGAAAGGAAACAAACAAAAACTGACTTGTTTTTCATTTTCATTAGGAAAAAAATCCACTTTCGAATTTCAGTTTCCTTGTTTTCATAACTTTTTCAAACTCAGTTGTTTATGTTTTATTTTGATTCATATCAGTCAAAGGGCAAAATTAATTATTATTGAAATAGTTCACGTCGAGTTGTGAAAGTCCTAAATCGTAACCGCTCAAAAAAAGTAATTTCTCTCGACTTTTTTGTTTTCGGCTTATTGGGCGTCTACCCACGTATTGTCGGCTTAGCTGCCTCTCGGTAAAGTTTATTGTATCCTGGTTATTGTTTTTCTCGGCTGTTTTCATTTTTTTTCTCTTGGCTATAGTTTTGTTGCTTTTGTTCGGATGTGCAACTTGAATATCTTGAAACTTTGCTCGAGACCAATTTTGAAGTTGTGTACTTAACCTAGTTCTAATTGAATATCCGGTTTTGTGCAGATTTAATACTTGCAGATTTATAAATTAAAGTAGCTTAGTACGCAAAAATAGTACTCTTACGAATTACGTGTCATTAAACCTAGGGAAGACACTAATGTAAATTGTGTTTTTTTTTATTTCTGTATGAAGTCTTTCACAATTTGAGTTTTCTTGGTTTGACTTTTAGTTTCTTTTAGGTTCAATTCAAATTCATTTGCTTGAAGTCAAAATCCGCTTTCAAATTACGAAGGCTGAAATGGCGCGAAAACTTATTGAACAAATTTAATTTTCGAATTTTATTTTCCAATCCCACAGCTGAATAACATGTTCAATCTTTTCTTTTCATCCACCTTTCTTAGGATGATTTAATTGAAAATATCGGTGGTAAAAAATTTGGAGATTCGAAGAGCTCTAAGACGATATATCAGTTGTTTTCAGTTGTTAATCAGTTGTTTTTGTGGAAAGGTAAGGAATGCTAATCGAAGCATAAGTATTAGTGCCTACCCTGATGGGCCAATTTTAAAATGGCATGATGTTTTCCTTGCCTTTTACAAATCTTAAATAGTCAGAATGACAGTTCTTTTCTGAAAGAGTTTATTTATAGTGATGTCTTTTATGAAAAATAACATTGTAATAAGAATTATTTTCCGATAATATCAGGATCAAAATTTTGAACGACCTTGTTCATTTGTACGACATATATGATATGCTTATAGATTTCATTTCGTTGTTCTACTGTTAGGTGTAAGTGACTGATTTATTTTTATTTAGGTCCTGGTAGGTGTAAGTGTCAATGAACTTATACATGTCGTTTTTTGGTTTGTTAGTTTTCTTTGAATGTACACTTTGTTAGTTTATCAATCAAAGAGCACCAACTTGAGCACGCACAGAAGGTAAATGAACCTGTTAAAGCGCTGCTGAGATCTTATCTAGATTTTTAAACTCAATGTGCCATTCATCCCGAAAAAATCTCGCATAAGGTAAAATGGATGACACCTTTGAAAAGTGAGCAATAAAAAAAATCAAACCTATAGTATATTTGAAATATGAATTAATATTGTAATTATCTTTACCTTTGTTTTTTGATCAACAAAAAGTTTATTGAAGTAGTCACAATCATATAATTCTCCTTTCCAATCACAACGGAATCAAAAAGTTCAATCAGAAAAGAATGAGAAAATATGAACCCGTCATGGTGATATATTTTTGTCTTTGAAAATCGGAAGTTGAAATTTTTTCGAGAAGTGAAACTTTTTTTGACCTCGTTGAGTTTTTTGAAAGCTTTCGAACTGTCTTTCGGCTATGTTTGTACCGACCAGCTAAGGCAAGGATGAACTTTGGACTCGAATGTTTTGTATCAGTTTTTACATTTCAACTTTTTTGATACGAAGTTTGCTATTCAGATTTATCAGGCTCTTCTATTGGTTTCACTACTATCATTAACTTAGGGTATAGATATCAGATGCCCTTTTTTTCCGACGCAAGTTTGTCTGCAAAATTTATTACTAGGCTATATTTTAATGTCGTCCATTCGTTGTTGCCGTATTTGCTCCGCCCTCTGAAAGTGGAGAGAAACTTTGTATTCCGATGTGTTTTAGTTTTTTTCTTTTTTTTCCACGCAACAGAATGAAGTACAACAAATAATCGTGGGAAGGAGTGGAGGCATTGCAGTCGTGATGCGAACCCTAATAAAAATTGTACATAATTTCTGCTGTGTAATGGAAAACCGATTTAAAGTTTTTGTTTTTGTCTTCTTTCGAAAGAATAAAGCGCGCGAGCAGACTTATTATACGAAAATAAGACGTAAAATTTTAGTTTTACTTAGTAATATTAGTTTGTGAAGCTATTTTTAGCGCCTTTTCGCCAACAGATAATCCTAAAAACCGTTGTCAAGTATGCGTATTCCACTCTTACTATCGAATGTACTTTTTCTTGGCTTTTTGTTCAGGTCCGCTCATTGCCGAAAATACATCACACACAATTTGCAAAAAAAAATGTTTTTTTTGTGTGTTCGGAACATGTTACAATTTGTTAAGATTCGGCAAATGACAAGTAGCGATTTCGGGTTTAATTTGAAATCATCTTCAAATGAAAAGTTTTTGATTTTTTGAGTAACCTGTTTTTTTGCCATTATACGAAGTTGGAGTTGACCTTGTGATATTTTCTTTTGCAGAGGATACGGGACGGAAGGTGGCGTTTCCTGGTTATTTTTTTCTTTCTGTGCCTGAATCTCTGGTTGCTTGTTTTAATTGGAATTGAGTTACGGTCTGAATAGCAATGGCGTTCCATAATGTGTTTGTGGATGCCACCTGCGTTCCATTGGAGGACTCTAATCACATCTTGAGTAGGAGTCTTCGCTGGTTGAGGCAGGAATACGTCTGCTGTAACGTTATTGCGGGAGTCGTGCTCAACTTTGCACGGGTTGCAGTTCCAATCCGGGTTTCTTCTCACTTGCTGTCTCTCGCTGGGTGTGTTGCCAATGCATTGGATGTGGAAGCTTCCTCTGCAGGTGGCACACTGTTTGCGCGGCGCGTTCCGATTAATTTTCCTTTTGCAGTCCTTGCACTGGGAGGCTGGTAGTTGCGCACTAGTATCTGCGGGTGTATCCGAAGTGCCATGCTCGCAGGCGCAACATTTCCATTGGTTGCTTCTGCCTCCCGAAGATTTCAGGTGGGCCACCGATGAGTTACACTCCTGGCAGGTGTTTCGCGGGCCTCCGGTTCTAATCGTAGCTTTGCAGCATTCACATTTCGCTTTCGCCAATGGTTCTTCTTCAAACGTGAAGACAGTCTCTTCCGCTGGCGTCGGCGTCAAGCAGGTCGTGCAGCTCCATGATTCACTAGTGGCCTCTCTGTTTCTCAAGGCTCTGGGGACGTCTCCACATTGGTAGTGGAAGGTTTGGGAGCACATGCTGCATTTGATGCCTGAGTGGGTTTTCCGCAGGCCTTTGTCGCACGAGGCGCACTTCACCCAGTCCTTCTCTTCACATTTGACACAGGTGAGGGTGTCATTCTCGTACGCTTCTTGGGCTGCGGGGCGAGACAGTCCACTGCACGTCCTTCTCATGTGGAACTTGGCTCTGCACTTGTTGCAACTGAGGTGTTTCATTGCGATGGGGTCCTCGCACCAGTTGCATCTGGCGGCAGCAGACCCTGGGTTAGCTTCTACATCTGCCCGTAGTAGCAATTGTCGAGAGATTAGGGCCTCTGTTTCTCGGCTACCCAAAAACCCGACTTCTTCTTTCTTCTTCGACGACTTTTCTTCCATCCCGTTGATGACCCAGTCCGATGATCTGCGATCCCCCCACACACCACGAGGTCCGGGTCGTTGTGTGGGTCCTA